GCGCAGCTGTACTGCAAACTAACGCCAAGCTAGCAGCTTGAGAAGTAACGTGCTTTTAGCCTGTTGCATCGATAAAGAAGGCGATGAGGGAAAGTTGATTTTGCGTGTGTGATTTAGGATTTAAAAGATATCTGAAGAAAGTTTAATAAAGACCCTAAGTATTAACGAGATTAAATGAATGAGTCAAAACCAAAAGAATGGCAAGTGAGTATCAAGAGATTGTTTTTCAGCACATCAGTAGTTGTTACTAAGGTTGTTCTGGACTGTAACTTATTAATGCTGTGAAAAAATGCAAATGAAGGTGTGAGCAGCAGAACTCATAGCTGAAAAACTTAGAGCAAACTATGAAGAATTTCAGACTGATACAGATAAGCTAGGTGAAAAAAAAAAGTGATAGCAGCTGGAGGTTAGCTGTGGCATATGCATATTGTGACTAGGATGTAAAATTCTTGTGCTGATAAGTTTCTAAAGGAGCATTCCTATAGGCAGCCTTCAGCAAAACAGCAAAAAGAAAGGAAGTGACCATGTGGAAGTAACAGGGTGAAGGATAATACCAAGAACTGTTTTGGTGACCCAAGTCAGAAGGGCAGACTCATTTGGATGACTGTCAGAAACATGATTTAGCTCATCTCAAGAAATGTAGGTTGTGATTACAAGGGCACAGGTAAGATGTTTAGGGTCACCAAAATGCCTGTAAATGGAGACTTGAAGTATGTGTAAATAAAGGGACTTCTCTCCCACTCCCCTTTTAAATTATGTGTGAGTTGATTGTCATCATCAGTAACAATATTTTCTGCAAAGTAAAGGAGTTAGTGTGCTTCTTAACATAGACTGGGTAATTAAACTCAAAACAAGATTCGTTCTAACAAAGTCTGCTCTAGTGCTTCTGGTAACTTAGTGTGTTCACTTAACTCTAGATCCATCCCTGTGTGCTGCCCAGGATATAGCTGCATAACAGTGCTTAATATGGAGCAGGTTTACTAATTTTGTTTTGTTAGTGCACGTTGACAACCTAAAGAACAAACAAATTTAAGCCAGGAACTCTTTCAATCTTTCTGTGGCTCATGCCTGGATGGCAGTAGCCAATTAATGTTAGGCCTTTTTAATGACAGTTTCCATTGATTTAAAAATAGATTGAAATAGCAATGCTGTGTTCCATAGTTCTTCAAAGGCTCCCCAGGCAGTAATTGTATTTGGTGACTACCAATCTTAATAAAATTCTGGCAAATTTCGTGATGGAAATGTACCACTTGAAGTTGCTGCATCCAGCAAGCTGTTCAGTAGAGACCAGGCGAATGTGCTTACAGCTTCAGCCTCTGTGGATTAGGGGTCTATTTCTGACTGCTCTTGCACAAGTCATGTAGACTGGAGGTACAGAGAGAGTTTAATTGGCTTTTCTGTGGCAGTCCATAATGCCCTTAAAACCCTGTGGAGAAATATGGCTTGCCCTGTCATGGATAGCTGCTAAGTCATGGTATTTGCAGTGGCTTACTGAAGAATGAAGTGCAAAGGGATATGAAAAGGCAATGGTTTTGAAGTTTTGTTTCTTGCATGTAACAATAAAGGACTAAGTGGAGATATTCAGGGTGCTTAGGCCAAATTAACTGGTAGTTTGGCTTCAGAGATACTTAATGAATCATTGTAGCCTTTAATAATTTGGTTATTAATATTAACATTCACATATTCACTAACATTTATTATTCATTAATATTTTTCAAGCTCCATTATATACATTTGAATTGGTTGCTCCTTTGTGGACGAAGTAAAGAAGGTATTTCAGTCTCTTCAGTGAAGTTAAAATAGGCTAGCTGGCAACTTCAGAGTTTAAGATATATAATTGCAACATGTGCCTAGAAATGCTTCAGTCTAACAGGGCCAATTTTAAATTTGCCATCTAAAACATATTTCACAAATGGAAGCATGGGGTTTCTTTCTTAATTTTGTCTTGTTAAGAAATAGCCTGCATTCATGGTTATAGTGTATGAAGAGCAAAGCTTTGCACTTACCTGCAGAGAAGCAAAATAGCTGAATTCGGAGCCAGATCTCATATCAGTCCTGACTGTTTCACGGAGGTGGGACTGCACCTTTACTACTTCATGTGGTCTGTGGCATGACTAGCAGGAAATACTGCTGCTGATGCCTTGACTTCTTTCAGCTTTAGTGTTGGTTTTTGCTGCCTGAGGCTCAGGCTTTTGATCCTCAAAAGGGGTGTGTGAAGACAATCTAGCAGGAAATGAGCTCTAGAAGGAGGAAGGGAGTAGGAGAGAGGAAGAGCAGGAGTAGGACAGAACATGACAACCCGAAATACTAGTAAATGTGGCCTAATGATTTAATTATGATACACAAAGACGCACTGCTGTGTTTCTTACTTCTGGTGCTGTCTGTGTGGGTGTCCAGTGCAATGCTAGTAGTTCTTGCAGGCTGCTGGATAGACAGGTCTTTACTGAGTCCATTGAGGTTCTGTACACCTCAATGAAAAGTAGAATCCAAAAGAATTCCTGAAAGATAAAATAAAAAGGTTATGCTTACATTTTGTATTAGAAAGCTTTAGGTGTAAGGGTGGATTGGCACCTACAGGGATATATGGGGGGGGGGGGGCTAAAAAGGAAGGCAGGAGGAGAAGAGTGAAAGTATCTGAGCTGTTAAGAGCTATTGCCTGTTCTTAGTCTTTTTAGACTGCTATCTCAAAATGTCAATAGAGACTTTAAAATTGAATCCCATCCATATGATATCCTTGTCTATTAGACTAACACTTAACAATGCAGAAAGCTTGCAGCTAGAAGAAAATAAGACATACAGCTATGTGTAACTGCTAGAAGCAGATTAACAAGGTGTCCATCACTTCAAAGTGAAAGCTGTTAAAATTCAGATATTGTCAGATACTACATTACACAAGTCTATAACATGCATCATTTATTTTCCCTTGTGTCTATCTCAAACTCCCTTATGTATAGATCTTAAATCCTTATATTAAAATACCTATGTTCTGTGTTAGCCCTTGTAGGCAGCCAAGCCCTGTCCAGCTCCTGGCTGACTCCCTGCCCCAGTGGGATGGGGGAGAGAATCTGAAGGGTGAAAGTGAGAATACTTGTGGGTTGAGATGAAGACAGTTGAATAGATAAAGCAAAGGTGAACACACAAGCAAACCGAGATAAGGAAGTCATTCACTGCACAAGCGAAGCAAGATAAGGAATTCATCCACTACTTCCTACCACCAGGCAGATGTTTACCAATTTCGAGGACAGCAAGACTTCATCATGTGTAATGGTTGCTTGGGAAGATAAGTACTCTAACTACAAATGTCCATCTCTTCCTTCTCCTTCACCTTTTATTGCTGAGCATGGTGTCATATAGCGTGGGGTATCTCTTTGGTCAGCTGTCCCAGCTGTGTCCTCTCCCAGCTTCTTATGCACTCTCAGCCTACTCACTGATTTGACAGCATGATAAAGGCCTTGGTTCAGCATTGTTCAGCAAAAGCTAGAATATCTGTTGGCTGTCAGCACTGTTTTAGTAACAAATCTCAAACACAGCACCGTGTAAGCCACTATGGAAAGACTTACTCCATCCCAGCCAATGACAGTACTATTCAGTAATATTAAATCTGTGCTCTCAAGCTTTCAAGACTTCTCATAAGAATCAAAAGACCTAACAATTGCAATGACATCCAGTTTGCCTCAATCTTAAAGTCATCTTTTTAGTATTTCATATGTGAATGAACAATACCATCTTGTGTTCAAATCTGCATGGCTAAGGTCTGAAATCTTGAAGGATGTGGCTAAAAGATTCCCTGTGTCTGTACAAAAGTTACTTATTCAGTCTTCCATAGCTATGTTTTATTATAACTTCCTCTTCTGTTTTGTCACTTTGGGTTTTAGGTTTTTCTAGTCAGTAAGACACTGTATGAACATTTACACTTACCTGGGAATAGCAAGGCTTTTTTAAGAATGTCACTAGTTACATCACTGTATTTTACCCTAAGGGACTTCAGTTTGACTTTGTAGCACATGTGATGTTTCTGTTTATGGTTAGTGTTTTCATAAATTGTCACTGGAGTTAGTCCCATGGTACATATGTACTTTCTGCAGGTGAGTCACAGCATTTGAGATCCCTATAGGAGAGGTTAACCTTAACAGTTTTAAAAAGTAATTTTTGTATTTGTAAGCACCTGTGATTATCTGTATTATCTGCAGAACTGTTTCTGAGCCTTCTTCAGGCCCATTCATTTTACAATTTACACACAAACATAAGCAAAATCTGCATTCTTTGGTCTGGTTTGATGCAAGCAATCTTAAGCCCAGAAGCTGTGTAGACATGCTGGCATGTTGGAGTGGATAAGCTATATATGCATTCCCTTAAAGTGTTAGTTTCAAGTCTCCATAACAAATTACCTTCAGTTTCCTACTATTCTCTCTCTGATGGATACAATTATACTGGTATCTCAAGCTAATTCATTGTCCACTGAACCAATAAAATGCATCTTCAACCCATCCTGTTTGTCATACAAATGGTATGAGGTGGGAAGTCTTTTAACTGGTTTCTGCATGAGCTTGCTTTGAAAAGTTTTGTTGTTTCTTGTTTGTTTGTTTTTTTTCCCCTCCAATGTTAGCAGACTTTGGAAAGGTCTATGAGGACTTTACTTCCTTGCTTTTATTTCAGAAT